TTAAGTGTTGAATATAAATAATGGTAAAATTGATAGTAATAAAATATATTAATGTTTTCTCTAATGTTTTCTCTAAAATGAGTTTAGCTTAGGGTAATTGTAAATAATGAACATGGAAATTTAATAGCTGTTTTGAAAGAAAAAGAGAAATATTCATACTTTAAGATGAAGTGAAGAAGAGACCTCTTAATATTTCTATATTCAATCCACTAAGTCAAGCTATCTGTAACATCCAAATAGTTAAATTAGCCTAAAAACTTATTATATTTTAAGATTATTTTTACTTTTTCTTTTCAGTGAAGTTACATTCGATAAAATGTCTTTTGTAAAATAATTCTTAGAGAAGAATGTTCAATGAAGGAGTTTTTGGTAAAGAATAGTAGTGTTGATCCATGAAAATGTTGTTCCATAAAAGGTGTTATTCCATGAAGTTGCTTTTCGTGAAAGTGTTATTCCAGTGAAACAACATTTACTGAAGCAAACTTCAGACATTGGCCTAAAAAGAAAAACTTCAGATGAATCATAAATGAAAAGCCAATGACTAGAATTTGCTATTTAAATCAGAAAAGGAATGACAAATAAAAAAAGATAATCAAATGCTTACCAGGGTCACGAAGATCATTAGGGTGAACCTTTGAGTGTCCACTAAACCTATATGTCTCGCATTCGACCAATGTTGGACCTTCTCCTCTCCTAGCCCTGGCAATTTCTACAAGGCCGCCATATTCAAACACTCAAAGAACTGCCCATTGTTGCAAGTCCCATACCCAAAAAACGCCAACGTGACATGATCACAATCGGCTTCTTTCAAAACCTCCTTCTTATACATGGAAGTAAAAGCCGCTCCCGTGGCAATGGGAATCCCTTCACCAATAAAACCAAACCCACCAAGAAAATTGTGTTCACTTGAAAAAATATGCATTGACCCACCTTGGCCGCGGCACCAGCCGTTGGTCTTACCGAAAAGTTCACTCATGAGGACTCGTGCAGAGACGCCTTTGCTTAAGGCGTGAACATGATCACGGTATGTGGTTACGACAGAATCTTGTTTCTTTAAGAGCTTAATAAAACCAGTTGAAACAGCTTCTTGGCCATTGTAAAGATGAACAAAACCAAAGATTTTACTTCTGTTATACATCTCAGCACACGTATCTTCGAATGCTCTTCCTAATACCATATTTTCATATAATTGCAATCCTTCCTAGTAATTAACTGAGAAAAAATGGAAAATTGAATAAAAATATAATTAAAAAACTTAGTTTGATAGTAACATGAAAAGAAAAAATAAAAAGAGAGAGAGAAATGGGTTACCAGAACAACGGAGACGGCGACTGCTGTCCCAGAACGACGGTAGAGATTCAATCTGGAGGAACAACTGAGGAGGCGTTTGCGCGTGGATCCGAGGAAGGGTGAGGAAAGTGACTTGTGGTGAGATATAGGGGACGTGGTGCTGAGAGGGAAAGCTTGGGCTGTGAACTTGGGTGTGCAAAAAGCGCTATACATTTCGTTTTTTCTTTTTCTGACATGGGGTGTTTGCGGGGAAGGAGGCAAACAGGGAAAATAGGAAGAAGTGAAGAGTGATGGGAAAGGGTAAGGAAGCCGTTTGGAAGTATTTCATGCAGCGGGAAACAAAGGAAAGCCAGCCAAACTTAAACGACACGCTTTGGCATTGGGGGAAATATTTGGATGAAGTTTTTTTTAGGTGAAGTTAAGCGATTACATAAAAATTAAAATTAATAAATTGAAAGATTTCGTTATATAGATTAAGTATGTAAAATTTAAAACAAAATTAATAAATTTTGATATATATTTTAAGATAATTATTTTGAATAAAAATATTGATAAAATTTTTATCGTTGAATAAATATCGATCAAATTTGAATTATAAATAATGTTTTTAATTTTTTTATATTATTAATTTTCACATTAAATTATATCAATCTATCATTTAAATTTTTTATTTAAAGTTTTATTAAATTAATTATAAGAAAAAATGTCATAAATTTCGTTTTAAGAACTTAATGTAAGTTTTGTCTTGACACTTAGATTTGTTTGTCTTTGTAAAGTCAGTTAGGAAGACAGTTAAATTGGTCTTTGATTTTGGCTGTACATCTTAGATTGTCTTAAATTTCGCCTAATTTTTGTAAGAAGAAACCTGTTTCAATTAGAATTCACACGTCACCAGAGATAACTTATATATATATATATATATATATATATTTGTATATTAATTAATGTCTCTTTAGAATATATTTTAAAATTTTTCTGTTTAATTCATCATAATACATTTCATTAATTTTCATATGTTTTATTATGAAAATACAAATTAATTCAATTGTGATTTTAACTTTGATTAAAAGCTTAAACAATGGATTTTTTTCAATATATATTGGAAAGCAATAACATGAATTAACCTTAAAAAGTTGAATTATCAATTTCATTACTACATAAACATATTCATAGAATGAATTTTTTTTATAAATTAAAAAAAATTAGAAAAAATATAGATTTGCATAGCACATGTGACATTTTACTGAAGAGAAAAGGATGAAAAGAAATAAAGGTGGTCGTTAGGCCAGTTAATTTTGAATAGAATTATTTAAAATTAAATTATGTTAATTTATTTTTGCTAATAAAATCATATTTAATAATTTCAAAATTTTATTCAACTGAATTTAACTATATTAAATATCGAATTAATCAAATAACAAAAAATATTTAAGTTAAATTATATTTTAAACTCTTAATTTTTTAATATTTGAAACAAACCAACTAAATAAAATAAACTAACAAAATATTAAATTAAAAAATCTAACAATTTATAAAATGAAATAGTTCATTTCATGCATTTTTAGCTTTATATTTAGGTTTTATTATATTTTGATTAATTTGGTTTGAAAACCAAATTAATCAAAACTCGAAATTCCTTAAAAATAATTTTTGATAATTGATCAAAATTAATTTGATGACCAATCAATTAATCGAATTAAATCAATTTGATGATTAATTTCATTAAAACTAATTTTTAAACACCACTAAAATAAAATATCTACCCTAAAAATGAAAAAAAAAATACCATTTGGATTCATAGCTTTTTAAATATTAATATTAACCATGTGATGCCAATCATTCTTGGTTGAATGATCAAGACCGGAAATTTGGGTGTATTCTACATGATGGGTTCAATTAAATATATTGATTAAATAAAATGTTAAAATTTCAAAAATAAAAAGTTCAAAAAATGAATTTTTTTAAAATTAAAATATTAAAAAAAGTAATTTTAATATTTTTAAAAATTTTAGAAAATTTTTAAAAAATTCAAAATATTAACTTTTTTTATAAAATAAAATCTAACTTTAATAAAATTAAAAAATATGATTTTATTAAAAAACTAATATATTTAAAAATATTAAATTTAATATTTTGAAAATATGAAAAAAATTATAAAAATTCAAAATATTATTTTTTGAAAGAATTAAAATATGATTTTTTTAAAAAAAAGGAGCAATGTTATTAAATTCAATTTATACGATAATGAGTTTTTTTATGAAATTATATTATAAGCACTAAATTTTAAATTTATTATAAGCACTCAATTTTAAATTTTTTATGAATATAAAAATTATTTGTATAATTTAACAATTAATTTTATCCAACCAAGTTACCAACTCAATAAAATCAAAGTCATGTCAACAAACTCAATGCCCATGTAATCAAATAATGACTACGTCATTGAGTCAATGGCTAAGTTAATATTTTTAATGGTAAAAACTTAATGAAATTAATAATTAAATTAAAATTATCAAATCAAAATAATATGAAGATTAAATTTATATGAATTATATACATGAACTAAATTTTAAATTTTGACAAAGTATAAAGACCTCTAACATAATTCGACTATCTATGTTTAATATATAATATATGGTTTCATTCCCATTGATCAAAAAATACAAATTCAATTTGGATTGCTCTAACCTTTATAAATGCAATGCAAGGATGGGCATCATCTAGCTAAGGATGGGCATCATCTAGCTAAGGATTTGTCATTACTACTACTGGTTTTCGAGTGTCTTGCACCAAGTTAAGGGCCAACACCAAGAAAAAATTGGTACAAAAGATTGATTTTAAGTGAAAGAAATTTCGATCATTAGAAATCAAACATTATTTAAATATCTCTATTCGATGAGATATGATACAAAGCATTTTTGTTTGTTTTTTGAATTTTATTATATATTTACGTACTTTTTACAATATTTTATTTTCCCTTACTTATTTTACATTAAATTTTTTATACTTTTATATAAAAGTTATTAATTATACTATAATTGAATTTTTGTATATATAATTATATATTAATGCATTATAAGGGCTTAAAACTATTTTATTGTTTATAAATGATATGAAATGATATGTAGTACAACACGGTACATTGGTTAGGTAATGAAAACGAAAGGAAAAATGAAAGCTTTTAAATGTGTTAAGGGACATAATTAATTATCATCTCCATTACTTTTAATTACAAAAAATATAGACAATTTTCAATAAAGTAATTCGCCAAAAAAATTAAAAAATAACATTAATTCAATAATTGGTTTCCGAAAATTGTAAGTTAAAACAACAATTAATATAAAATTTATGGTAATATAAAATTAATCAAAAGTAGTTAGTTTTAAAAAATAATATTTAATAAATTTGAACTTTAAATTTTAATGTTTACAACCTATTATTCTTATCTTTAGACTGTGATTTTTTTATATAAAAATAAAAATAAAAAATAAATAGTTATTTTTTGAGATGATAAAAATAAATAAAATTTTAGTAAGCAGAAAATAATTCGAGTAGGGATAGGCAGAGTGGATTAGTCATAACCGCACCCAGTGTTCCGACCCGGTGGACAAGGTGGGCTAATCATGATTACGTTAAATATTTTAAAAATCAAACATTATATTAAATATTTTACTATAATTTCGATACAACTCTGTTAACATTGTGTGTTAGAGAAAAATGATCATGTTAATGGGTGTTTTCTTTTTTAACTTCTTTTTGGATCCAATAGGAGATCAGTATTACATTTGCGCAAACATGGCTTTGGCCTCATCTCAGGAATCCCTGTTTGTCAATGAGAAGCCAACTGCTTCCAGCTCCTTTAACATGACTCCAGGAACTTGACCAGTGATTCAGAGCTCTTATGGTAGGTTCCACTTTAGACAACCTCCACCTTGATTTACACAGGTTTTTACACACAACCACTATGATAATAACCTAGGAAACTTCAATAGGATCACAATTCTGATACAGGCTGCAAGCATTTATAGGTTATTGCAAAATGACAGCCCTGGAAGTAGTGACCACATGCTTTAAGCCGCCACCTTTTACAACAGACTGTCGTTGTCTAACCGGTAAACCACCTGTTCCTTTTAGTTCATTGGCAAGCCAATGACCTCAACAAAAGTTACCTACCTAAACTGTTATCATAGATTCACCAAGAGTGATACAACTCCTACTGTAAGAGGCGCCTACTATCAACAGCCACGAGTATCCAATCAAAACAACTGATTAGGGCAGTCACCTTGCCGCCTCTGATCCATCACCACCACCATTCCCACCAGCTGTGCTACCCTGCCCATCAGCACCTGCTTCAGAGCCCTCTTGCTTGTTTCCACCACGTCCTTCATTTGGGCCAGAAGCTGGAGAAGGACCACCACAGCTGCCACCTCCAAGAGTAGCCTCATCATGCATGGGATGGTGCATGCCATTATTGGGGCCACCAGGTCTGATTCCCATTTGACCTTGCATGGCTTGTTGATGCTGCTGGTGCAGCTGCTGCTGTGGATCCTGCATTTGATGTGGGTTATTGAATTGCAATGGTACCTTTTGGGGGAAAATACCAGATTGCTGTGCCATTGCAGCAGCTTGAGGATGTTGCATAAAATATCCTCCTGGTTGCATTGCAGGATGTGGGGCCATCTGCCATTGTTGGTAAACATGTGAGCAAGCAGTTTAACAGCAGATAAACCATTTAATTTTAACACTCACCTGAGGAGGCATTGTTGGTGTTATTTGTGGTTGTGCATCTGCAATTGCGGCTAAGTACATCAAATTCTTTTGCAGCTGAGCTTGATACCTAAATCAATCAAAATCTTATATGTATGCCGCCAAAATGTCACACATGTAAGCATGTGTGAATGCGCAAACCTAACATGTGTATGGGAAGAAAAATTGGCAGTAACTTTATGCGAATAAAATGAAATTGCAAGCATTCAGAATAAGCGTTCAAAATTTTCTATTGTATCAATTTAGAATTGCAATAATCATATGCCTTCGAAGCCAGTTAGAATAATGAGAATCAAGCACTAAATTAGTTCCTCAAATTAGGTTTGGAGTAGGGATTGTGACATCTGTATAAGCATTTAGAAGCCCCAAACATATCCACAAAACAAAAGACTTATCCAATTTTGGAGTAGACCTGATAATTTTAAACACGATATGCGATATGACACGAAAATAATATGAAATAAGATACGAAAGTGGCACAGTTTAAAATTTTAGCAAAAGTTGTATATGAGTTTGGCAAAAAACAATAAATGTGTTTTGTGTTTAGTATGTCGACAAGAATTTGACACGGCAATTTTTTGTGTTTTACATGTTAGATACGACACGAATACAATACATATACATGAATTGTGAAGTCTATTTTGGAGCTAGAGACTCCTCAATTCTGGTCCCAGTTTCACCTAGAAACAAGATAAATATCTAGAATGAAGGAACAATTTTATAATTAATTGACGGTAAAATTAGATAATTCAATTTGAACTACATGAACTACAATCTCAAAGTAGCAAAAGATATTACTGATACAAATGTTTGGCAACAGTTCTGACATGCTAATGTGTCTAGCAGTTTAGACAAGCCACTTCCAACTTAAAGCAAACATATATTTTAAACCTCAAATGCTCATTTAAAATACCGCATGCACCACTAAGGTAGATAAAAAAGAGAAATTTATAAATTACGTACTGGCCACATTCAGCGAGTTTTCCAAGATTTTGATTTTCCAAAATTGCCAAAATCAACTTCTTGTTCTCATCAAGGTACTGCAATAAGAATGAAAAAGAGAAAGAACACTAAAAAAAATCTCACAAAACAACTTAATGTCTCTATTATCGCATACTCCATTCTTTAGCATTAAGTGACACACACATAGGGATGGGGCAGAGATCTACACACACTTTCTTAAAACATGTCTCCTAGAATCAGGAACAAAAGAAAGAGTAAAGCCAAATATAACAAAATCTTGTGCACATGCTTTACTCAAAGATTGGTTGTCAACCAAACTCCATCAAAAGTTTTTGCATTTACGCACTTCTCAAGATTCTCGAGTTTTTCTCAATCTCAGGTTCCTAAGAAGGACCTTGACTCAGGAAATTATAGCCCATTCAATAGGATATAGCCAGATAAAAAGGACAGTAGGATTTCAAGGGGTTAGAGTCAATTCAAAAATCCTTCTAATGCATTCCCTTCAATAGAACAAATGATACCTATTAAGCTTTCGGCTTAGTTCAAAATAACAGTGATCATCCTTGAGAATTAGCATATAAAGCCCACCTCTTACGCTTAGAACCTTCTAAGATCTGCCAACAGGTTTACTAAATCGACCACCACTCTTGCATCTCATACCGATTAAACTTTCCGGGAATAGGATGCAAAACCAATAAGTTCTTTAAAGAATTGATGTTTCATATTTACAGTGGAACATAACTAACGCTTTTCCTCTAAAAGGAATATTACTCTTTTGAGGATAAGAACAAATGATCTAAACTGAAACAGGAAGATCTCATCTATCATCCTCTCTCCATCTAAACTAAAGAATTTCTATGAGGTAAAAATTAATCCTAATTGCTGAGGCATACAAGGACTTTCATTTTACTATCTTTTAATTAATTTAACTCCAGCAATAACCAATGAAGAGCCACTTGGACAGCTTTGGTAAATCAGCCTCGTAGGCCTTTTATTAGGAAACCACTATTCAAGGCTCCTGCTGCAATGGCCATACCTTACTATTGTTCGGAAACATGTAGACAGCTTAACCAGTCTTGCTACTTCAATTGGAAGCCATTTCCAGAAAAGGTAATCAAAAGGGACTTATAAGAATTTTAAGTGATTATAGATATCCATATGTTCTGAAAATCTATTTACAATCCAAAAAAACAATGTGCTCTTATAAAATCTGTAAACCTCAATATGGATCTATAACAAATGACAGTAAAATTTCAAACAGGTCTATTGATTTTTATTTTCATAACAATATTCCAAATAAGGTATTTTGCATTAATGACTTAGAAGTTATATTACCTTTTCCAGCAAAAAAAAAAAAATCTAATTCAAACTTCCCTGGTAGAGCTCAGTACAATAATAGCAGCAAATCACCAGTTTAATAAACAAAATTAAAAAAAAAAAGATCTCGTTTGGTGTAAGCATGTAGAAAAGAAAATACAATTGAAGTAAAAAAATTGACGTAGAGATTACTTTACCCTGAACACTATAAGCCTGGAAACTATGAAAGCAAAGAAAAGCCAAGATAGAGGTGGACACCAGAGATTGATCCAAAAAGATTTTAGAAGACTTCCAAGAAACTCGTTTACATGCTTCGTAAAAGACAAACCAAAAATAGAAAAAAAAACATAATTCTAGAGATAAAACAGCGACAATCAAATTGACACGGGTAATCAAACTCTTGATTCTCCCCAACATCAAGCACATCACTTGACCATCCAGATGTATCTCAACATTCAAGATGGCACAAGTCTCCTACAACAACATATACTAAAATGACAGACAAAAAACCAATTTCAATAATCGCAGCGCATTTAACAAAAACATTAATTAAATCCCCTGCATTACCGATAACATTCATTAATCTCTCTTTTTTATCCATCATTGTTATCATAATCCATTACCTTTTCAGCATCATTGTTCCATTCCAAATAACTATCAATACAGGCTAATCAATTCGCAGAAAAGCACAACTCTTCCATCTCATAAACGTAACGTTCATAATCATCAATAAAATACCTTCTTCTATCTCATGACAATGAGGGAAAAAAAAGAGAGGTTTCAGCCATAACTAAGAATTACCATAAAAATGAAAAGTTCCTGGTCAGCTTCTCCCTCTCAATAACGCCACAACTTCAAACTACTAGCATTAAAAAAGTACATATGGATAATAAACGAAAATAAACGGAAAAAAGTTTACATATATATATATATATATATATACATATATAAATATATACCGTCTGAATCTGTTCAGTAGTGATATTAGTAGGTGGAAATGAAGGCATCACAGGAATCATTTGCGGTGGCTGCTGCATCTTGTGTGAGCTTTTACTTTACTCCAAGCAGAAACCCCAACCACAATCACCCTCAAGAATTTTCCCAAAAAAAAAAAAAACCCTAAATCCAATATCCCCAAATGTTAAAAATATTAAAATAAAGAAAAGGTATGTACTAATTTTACCTTGTTTGCTTGAATTCTTGAAGTGGGTTTGTTTTAGATAGTGACAATGATTCTGGGATTTAACACAAAGGAAGTAAAAATAAACATAATAAGCTGAGTGATAAAAAGGGTATTCTCGAAATCAAATTTAGGAACCAAACAAAAGAGTCTTAGATTTGGTCTGTTCTGTTGTTAACACAAAACTGACGTGAAAAAGATTTTTAGTCGGATATTGGTTTGACGTAAATATAAAAATATGTGTATTTGTATTATAAAAATATTAAATTTTATATATTTATATAATATTTTATATAAAAATTATATATTTTAATTAATATTATTTTTTTAGTTTATTAAATTAATATATAATTTTTATTAAAATTTTAAATTATAATATTTTATATTAAATTTTTATTTTATTATCGTATTATATCTTAAATTATTAAATTTAATTTGTTACATTACATTTTATGTTAGTTGGGTTTTTCGATTGATTGTGTTGGACTTTTACTTTACTTTGGGTTTATAACTTTTAATGAATCACATCTTAATAAAAAAATATTGATAATAATTTTAATTTTAATCTCTAGTAATAGAACCTCTAAGCCGATATATTATGATAGGCTTGTGCCGTTGTTCGCTTTTTTGGGTTCATTGTTCTTTTAACCTTTTTCTTTAGTCTCTATTTCTTTATTTTATTTGGGAGTATGGTCTGTTTTCTATGTCTCAACAAAGCAATTCCAGATGGCGGATGGTGGTAATCTTGGGCAGTACAATGCCTCAACTTTTACAAAAATCTTTGTTGGTGGATTCTTAAGGCTGTGGTAATCACAAATAAAAATAATGGGAGATCAAAGGGTTTTAGCTTTGTATGCCCTCGTTGATCCCTTTGTAAAAAAAGTCTTGTTTATTTCCTTTGTTATCCATTCTATGACTATAAAAAATGAATTCTATTTTCATTTCCAGGTTACCTTTAAGGATCTTGAGGCAGCCATGAAAGCATTTCAAAACCCTTATCCTATCATCAATGGAAGAAGGGCAAATTGCAATCTTGCTACATTTCTTGCACAAAATACTTGTCCACCAACTCCTTAACATGGTTTCTTTCTTTCTTTATTTCTTCCCTTTCCCTTTCTTTAAAAATATTAGTTTTTGTTGAAATGCCATCTTCTTATATCAATATTCACTCCAACATTTAGGTGAGAAAAAGGTCATTATCTGTTAATGATATTTTAAGTGTTTATTATCCAAATTTGAAGTATAACTCAATTGGTTAATTTCAAGAGATGACATCCAGCAGGTTAAGAGTTTAAATTTCAATACTTTATACAAAAAAATGTTTAAAATCCCCTTTTTATTAATTCTGAAAATGTGTTTTATTATTGGGAAAATATTTTCATCTTGTTTCACTGCTATCATTTCAACAATGTTTCAAGCTCAAGATAAGTGGTTGGTCAATGTGATACGATAAAATGAAATATGGATCTAAACACTAGAGCTAAAAAATGCAAGGGCAGGATGGTTTAGACCAGTACCTAGATTGATGGCATTGCCTGGTTATCAGGGTTCCTTATCAACTTATATCCAACAACCTACTGGTTAATATTCAATTCCTTACTCAGCGTATGGGTGAGTTCAAGTGTTGTAAAATTAAATTCCAATGCCATTTCCTTTTTTTTTTTTTTTTATAAGGGAGGCTGTTGTCTAGGGATAGAAGTATTGATTGTAGATATTGGAATTTAAACCTAAAACTTGATAGATGCCACATCTTAAGAGTAATTATATAAACCAACTGAATTAAATACTGAGATCAATGTCATTTTTTAACCTGCATTTTAATACTCTGAATTGTTTCACTTTTTCTGTTTCATCACCCTCATTCTCTTTTTGTGAAGTTTCAGATATAATGAATATTCCCAAGACAACATTTATCCTTTGGTTTGTGTTTATAAATAGAGATTGAAAATAAAAAATAATATACTACTTCAATTTCTTGACATTGGTTTAGTTTATTTTATTGGTGTTTTTGTAGAACTATTATTCTATGAAGGTCAATAATTTTCACCTTACTACACCATCGGGGCATCGATGATACCAAGGGTGTTTCATAGTTATTATCCATTTTATGCTTAATATGCACAAAATAACCAAGCTTTTGGTTTTGGAGTTCAATATCTCCAAATGGTTCATTAATACCCTTATTTGCCTCAACAATATAGCTTGACTGGAATCTTATCGCTTCCATCTTCAATGCCTATGGCAACAACTACTTCAGGTGATTATTTTGCTCAACTTCTAAAGACATTCATACAGAACTTTTGCAATTGCAAGAGAAAATTATTGCAAAATGTTCTAGGACATCTACTGAAAAGAAACTATCGGTGTTGAAGGATACAATGCCTTTTACAATACAATCAAGATCTTTTGAAAGGGACATAAAGATCAAGCAAAAGGAAATATTGGAATAAAAAGAATACAAGAAGTTATTGATTCAAAATAAAGATATGTCATGCCTGATCACCTTGCAAAACAGAAGGGGATCTCAAGAATTTCGACATGGTATCTCGTTCACTCATGGAATGAGCGTTTCAGATGTAAATCTCGCTCCACTAAGTGTCTACAATTCATCATTTTTAGCCATCAATTCATCATATTTGGTCTGGGAAAGTAAGGAGTCTTAATTATAGTTGTTAGCAATAGGAAAAGAAATCATATTCATTCATGTATTTGCATAAGGTGGAAACTAAAATTGGCTTTTGATTCAACCTTAGACTTTAATTATTAGATGATTTTGTTTTAGTTGAAGAGAGCATCCAATAACAATCTTGTAAATATTAGTAGCAAGTGATTTAGAAGATTGATTTTGTATATTTGAACTTAAATTTGATTGTTTGGTTAAGAAAAAAAGAGAACTCGGATAGCTCACCCATTCACATGTAATTTTTTTATTTGTTCATAATTCATGATTGATACGTTTCAAAGATAGGATTAGTTGGGATAATAAGATGGGGTTAGTTCAAAGTGCCATGTGATCAACGGATACGTCAAAGGGTCAAATGTCACATTAGCATATTTATATAAGGATTCAATTTGGATAAATTATAAATGGATTAAATTTCAAATTTCTACAAAATTTAAAGACTCATGACATAATTTGAACTAAATCCAACAAATTGTATGAATGTTCTTTTCCAACAAATAATCTGAAGTTAGTCAAAAGAAAAAATAGAAGAAATAATGCTATAGCTTTTGCATCCTCCAATTAATTAACTATTGTAAAAGGATGCTTTTTTGGGTTTTCATTATGCTTTCAGCAACTGTTCCAAAGTAGAAAAGTTGCAACAATTAAGTTGGTCGATTTTAAATTCAATTCAAAGGTTATTTCAATTAGTTTAGATAATTATTCTTAAAATATAATATCCAACATATTTATAGTTCAAAGTTCATTACTTGTAATATCTTTTTTTTTTTTTTCAATCTATAACCTCTTTGTAAAAAAAAAAAAAAAATCAATTCCAAAACGTTTAAAATTTGATAATTGTTCTTCATGTCACCAAAGTCATTTTTTATAAAAGAGATTATAGCTTAAAAATAAAAAGAGATACAAATGTCGAGATTTAAATTTTAAATTTATTAAATATTATTATTTTTAAAATAATTATATAAATCAAATTAATAAAAATTCGATTTCATCAAAATCATTGTGAAAGGGTGAGTAAGGAAAGCTTTTACAAAGATATTATTCATCAATTTTCTCTCAATAGGCAGTTTGGTTTTAGGGACTTTTAATGTTGGGTCAACATCTATTTCATTTTTTTTATAGTATTTTGCATAAATATTTCATGACGTCCCAGCCAGGATGTTGCACGGCAGAAGGGGTCACATTCTCAATTTGTCTAAAATCCTTTTCTCTTTGATCGAGAAGATTTGGTAAGATTTTAATATTATAAAAGAATCTAAACAACATTTTTAATTTAATGTTTATTTTGGTACAAAGTTGTCCCTTGTGAAATAATTTTAAAAAAATAAGCCTAATTTAATGAAATGAAAGAATATTGTAGCACTTAGACCTTGATAAGAACTAACATGTTGGAAAATTCACTGGTTGAATGGTAGTGATTGATGAGCAAGAAAAATTTTGAAATAATTAAATTCATCGTTTAGAAAAAATGCTGTCACAACTTAGGAGTAAAAATAAATAGAGTTTCAATTAATCATTTATGAATATATTTGGTTTTTATTCGTTTATATTTATTTATTAAATTTAATAAATAATTTTTAATAACATTTTTACATTTATTTATTAAGCAAACAAAAATTTATTGGTTCATTTGTATTCACAAATAAATTTATTTTAAGTTTCGTTTAAAATTCATTTATTTGTTATTCATTTATAATAATAATAATAATAATAATATTATTATTATTATTATATTTTTATCTTTTATTTTAATATTATTTTAAGATTAATATACATTTATTTAAGTTCATTTATATTCGTTTAAAATTTATTTGATTATAATTTATTTATTATTTATGAATATGTGCATTTATATATATTCGTTTAATATTCACTAATGAATTCATTTAATATTTAAGAATGTGTTTATTTAACTTAATAGAATCAAACATGAACTGAATGTGAACATTTTATTATTTAGACAAATCAAATTTAAACAAACAAAATAATTTTTCTATCAAACATGAACTAAGTCCTAACATTTCTAAAAATAAATAAACAAACTACCAATATACATTTATTTATTTATATTCAATTTATTTATAGTTTTTTTAAAATTATAATTGTTATTAATAAAATAATGATGGAATGACAAATAAAACCATATCGGAAATTAATAAAAAATTATTAAAAGATAAATACATCATGAAATAGGACACAATGAAAAAAATCTTAAAATTAAAAATTCATTATTGCAATTGATATTTTTAAAACTATAACAAAAATAGGAACAAATTTCAATAATAATCTTTTAGATATATTTGTTTTTGAATCCTAAGATTTGATTTTCATTGAATATTTAAATTTAATATAAAATTAAAATTAAAATTTTAATTTAATTAATTTATACATTCAATTTTAAAAGATTATATATAATAAATTTAAAATTTAAATTTTAACACTTAAATCCATATATCTAGATTGCAACTTTTTTTTTTTAGTTATATATAATTTTTTTAGTACATAAATTAAAGTATCGAGTATGGGTATTTTTAATGTAAATTTATTCTTACGTCAATCAAAATATCATATATTACAAATTCAAAATTTAACTCAATAAATTTATGTAAATATCTTTAAAAATAATATCAAATAAATATAAAAATTAATTCTTTATATCTACAGTCCCTTCCTTCTCTTCTTAACAAAAATAAAAAGACAAATTCAACAAACGCTATTTCTGGTAAAGAAACTTTGAATGGGCCTCAGAAATCGTAGGAGCCCAATTCACACAGGTTTCTTTAAAATCCTTTTTCAAAGTCAAAGAGAAACCCTAGCAAAACATCTGTTTTGAGAGCGGCGCTGCACAGCTCCCGTAGATCCCATAACTCCCAGATTTCATCTCTCCGGTAACTCTTTGCCTTCCCCTTTCCTTTTCTTTTCATATCCAGTGTCGATATTATTTTAAATCTTCATATGGATTGGGTTTTAATCGCTTTTTACTTTTGTGTATTATAGTTGAAACGATGTCGTCGGTTGGCGAAGCTGCTTGCTCTTACGCTGCTTTGATTCTCTATGATGATGGCATCCCCATCACTGTATCCTTAATGCATTTTATTTAGGGTGTTATGATTTCTCTGATACGATTATGAAATTAAAATGGAAAAAAATGGAGATTTTGTTTATTGTTGTTGAACGAAAGATGGGTTTTGTTTGTTTCTTTAACTTGGCTAATAGGCTGAGAAGATTGCAACAATAATTAAAGCTGCAAATATCTCTGTTGAATCTTATTGGCCAAGCTTGTTCGCTAAGCTTTTCGAGAAGTGCAACATTGAGGATCTCATAACCAGTGTTGGAGCTGGTGGTGGTGGTGCTCCTGTTGCTGCAGCTGCACCTGTTGCAGCTGGTGGTGGAGGTGGTGGTGCTGCTGCACCACCTCCTGCTGAGGAAAAGAAGAAGGTGGACTTACGATTACAAATATATAAGTGGATATGATTTCCTTATCTTTAGTATTTCCTTGCACCATTTATTCTTATATGTGATTCTTTGGTAATTTTGCAGGAAGAGCCAGAGGAAGAGAGTGATGATGATATGGGATTCAGTTTGTTTGATTAGGAGCTCCATTCAGTATGTGATTTGGTCTATTACTGGTTTAGTGCATTAGGCTATGACAATTGTTACTGTTTTGAGTTTTATCGGTATCGGTATTCGTCTGTGAATTCGAAGTATATGTCTTCTTGAATGAAGTGACACTGAATAGTTCTTGCTTGTTTGAATTGTATGTTTGATTCTTCTATATATAAAGGATTATAGCCAATTTTTGCCATGTGTCATGACTGTTGAATTGATGTGGTTTATTCCATTGCAATGCATGCTTTGGTTTTAGATTGTTGTTTCGATCAATAGTTCTTTATGTTGTTGATGATTTCTCTTGATTTGATCCAACTGACATGATGGTTCCTTTCACATTAGTGCCATTAGCCATTGGTTCTGAGCTCTACTCTTTCCTTATATCTAACTTTTGCCGAAAGTTGGTCATTTAAGCTTTGCCTATTGCTGTGTCTTTGGGATTTATCTGTTTTCCTTTTCCCTTTTCCCTTTTCCAAATGTATTGGCTGGTTGATCAACTGAATCTCCTATGTATGTTCTTCCGAGTATTATACCGTGGATCGAGTTCTGGGCCACTTGATACTTGAATGTTTAACTCTGATTCTTTCTGCATATCTTTGTTTAATATTTATTTATTCAATTCATCTCCATTTTGTTCATAACTCAATTCCTTTACTAGAAAAGCCTACATAGCTTAGATTTTGTAATGTGTTTATCATTGACATGGTTACATGGCTTTAAGAATAACTTGAACTATCTATCTTTTAACATTGATGGATGATTATCATAGACATAGTTTGCTATCAGATGTCAAGTTTTCTTGATATTGCTCATCTTACTGGTTGTAACTTCTAATAATGGCAAACATGATTAGTTGGAATTGGATTCACAATTCATCCATCAAATGAATTAACTTAGTATTGCCAAGTTAAAACGTATGTTCAAATCAGTTTTTAGAAAGAGAAATTGTTTAATCCATTGTGAAAATTATATATTTCACAAGCGTGGTTAATAAGATGATATATATTATATTAAAATATAAAAATTAATTAAAGAAAAGAGGTGACGATCTTTTAATGTTAATTTAAAAAAATTACACTGTTAGTGTATAAAAGCTAGCTTTAAGTTTTATATTTTATGTGTGTTTTACATGAAATAGATATAATTACGGATATAGGAATTTTCTAGGGTAATTATGTCTTTTCAATAAAGTTGGCATCGGTTTGGGTTCGAGGTAAGTTTTGTTTGCCTTGAATTTGATCTTACTCGAATTTTTTTTTGTTTTTTCATATTCGAATTCGATCCGATATTATATAAATCGCATTCGATTTGATTCGACTCGAAATTAATAAAATATTATTTTTTAAAATAAAAATATTATTTTATATATATAAATATTTAAAATATCATTATATAAATATATATAAATAAAAAATTAAATAATTAATTAAAAAATAAATTTTTTATATAATATCGGGTTGGGTTTGTCTAAAATGCGAACTTGATTCATTTCTGTTTGTTTTATAATCTTATTCGACTTGAAATTTGAATTTTGAAAAAAAAAATTAATCTCATAAGATTGGGTCGGGTCGAAACTTGTTAGGGATGTGTTAAATTGTTGATCATATTTTTCAATATAAGGATGTTATTATTCTCCTTGTATTTGTGTCACAAAATAGACGCATAATGCCAATATATGAATTGACAAGTGGGGTTATATGTAGATGATTAATTAAAAATATAATATGATACAAAAATAATATAAAAGGAAGATATGAAAATATTATCATTTAAAATTTTATTCAAAAATTATGTATATTTAACAAAATGTATTATTTATTTTTGTATTGAAACAAAATTTGAATTATATTTTATATTTACTTGGATGGACCAACTCAAACGACTTTCGGTGTTCAAATACCAAATTGCTGTTCTACTTGTAAAAGTCTCAGCTAATTTCGACGTGCGGTTGTTAGGCTATTGAAACGAGCAGCAGTAGCTTCTTTCATGGAGTTGTAACGTTTTCCTTGTAAGAGGAGCAATTTCATTAAAGATCTTGAGCCATGCAATTTTTTATCATTTATGCTAGAGCTAAAGTTCCGTAAGTTGTAAATATATTATTATTTTTTATTAAATATATAAAAAATATAAAAATTATTACATTATAATTTGTATTAATATATTAACTACAAAATATTTATTTTGGTTTTTAATAAATTTATACATAATTTTTATTAAAATTTTAAATGATAAGTTTTATTTTTCATTATAGCGATATAGGATTTGGATCGATGGAAGAGATTTAAAGAAGCAAGCATTAAGCAGCCCGGGGGATGAATTGCCTTTCAAATTTTATCCCAATTCTCAAATAATATATACACTAAATTCAAACAATTGATCCAAGACACTTTAATTTGGATTCAATTTTGTTTATCAAATAAAAATTTAAATTTAAATTTCAAATTTATTAAATTTTATATTTTAAAAAAGATTATATTAAACAATTGTATTAAACATTGAATTCAAAATTGACCCTTTCCACTTATTATTTGGATGTAATAATAGCTTCTATTACTTGATCGATTATCACTTGCCACAACTTTAAATTATACTAAAATATGACCTGTGTGTTGCTAGCAGAATTATTTTTCATGAATATTTATGCTTTTATTAACAAATGTAAATTGAGTAATAAAAAACAAATTTATTAATTTTTTTAATCAAAAATATTTTTAAAATTAATTATATCCCTTTGTAATTTGAGAAATTTGGTGGAGGTATGCTGTCATTATATTTTAATTTTATCTTTTAAATATTCAAGTCAATTACACAATTATCCTCAAATTATTAATTAAATTCTCAATTAGTCAATCAATCCCAATTGAAGAACACATGACATAAAATTGAAGTTTAGTTTTTCAAATGTTTTCATCCATGGCTTGGGGCAACTTTACCGTATAGGCATTAATGGTAATTTCCTTTATTTTTTCGTTTCTTAAAAAATATCTTTAAAATCAATTAAATCTCTTAAGGGAATATTATATGAGTTTATATTTGATACACTATTAGTATATAAATTTTATATACTATCAGTAAATTAGATGATAACAACTCATTAATAAGTAAATATCAATATTTAAAATAAATGTATAAAAATTAAAATCGTTTATTCATTAATGAAGTGTTATTATCTGATCTATCACATCAATAAGTTATCATCATTTGATTCATTGATAGTGTATAAAATATATACACTGATAATATATCAAATAGAAGCTCATATTATATATTTAACTCAAATATTTTGTAATAAGTGTCATATTTTTTTTACATAAATTTTATATTTAAATTTTATTACATAAAACACAATAAGCTTTTGATTGTCAAACATTTATTTGGATTATTGACTTTTGATTTTTTTTTGTATTTATTTTCTTTAAAACCATTATTTATTAAAATTTATTGAAACTTTTGGTTTTGTAATATTTATATTTTTGACTTCTGATTTTTTATGACTTATGATTTTTCATCTATTTTTTTAAGGAGTGAGAGATTATATAAGTGCTTTTCATGTATCTATTACCTTTTCTTTTCTAATTCTTATTTGTCATATTACTAATCATGATGTTTTGTTTTTCTATTGTGTTTTTTGACATGCAAATGCAACCATGAACCAGTTACAACTTTGGCCAAATAGAATTTGGCTCAAATTTTAAGGAAAACGGTGCTATTAACTCTATTACTAATCATCATTTTTTTTAATTGTGTTTTTGAATTGAATCAAAGGGATAAAATTTGTTAAATAGAAGAAAATTACATTAAAATATTTAGTTGAAATGTTTATAGTTATTTTTACTTAATTTCACTGTTTTATTTCATTGCACACGAGCATTGAGTGGAAATAATTTAATTATAATCAGCAAAAAATTTTTTTTTTGTAGAATTTATCTTTTAAAAGGCATGCAAAAAGGAAAAACGAAAATATTAATATTAAATACATATAAGGTTCATAAATCTTACGACTATATTTATTTATTTTATTATTTTTAAATTTAATATTTTTATCAAAATAATAATTTAACTTTATTAATAAAATGGACATATTTTTTTTCTTATACAATAATCGCTTAAAACACAGGTTTCAAGGGAAGATTTTATAATAAATTTGTTATATAATTTTTTCTTCTAAAAGGATAAAATACGTACAAATACTATTTGGAAAAGTGTTCATACAATATATGAATTTGAATGGAAGTTAAAAGTTTAATATAACATTGATAATCTTATAAAAACTGTAATAAATTTTATTTTTCTTTTACTCAAAACAATATCTTAACTTGGTTAATAAATATTTTTATTACTCATTTTTATTTATTTATTTTTTAATTAAAATATGGTTTAAAGTAATGATTTATAAAGTAAAAATTTTTATAAGCAAAATAGAAAGCATATAGTGTTTATATTAAATACATGAGAAGGGATCCATTTATACAGCGTAAATTTTTTTTAATTTTATATTTTTTAACTCTTAATTTTAATAAATTTAAGGGATAAGAGAGATAAGTAAAAAATAAAAAAATGATTTAATCCCATCTCTTATATAATTTAATCACATTTTTAACAATTGATTTCAATAATATAAGAGATGAGATTAAATTATTTTTTTATTATTTACTTATCTCTCTCATCTCTTGGATTTATTAAAATTAAGAGTTAGAAAATGTAAAACAAAAAAAGTTTTACATTGTATAAATTAATCCCTTCTCATAAATAAATAAATAAATATATATATGTTCTAAGATTGCAAGGACACATGTCAAAATTGTCACTAATACGAAGAACATACTAAACCCATCCAAAACCTAATTTAAAACTATACAATGTGATTTTAATCAAGTTGCCAATTGTTACTTTGATAATTCAAGTGAACTAATTTTGATTTTATTAGTATATTATTTGTTAATCAGAAATTTCGAAGGCAAAAAACTATGGAACTTGAAAGATAGGAGACGACTCAGAAAATGGATTGGGCCATCACGAAATATTGTTAAATTCAGTTGGAAATGGGGTTGAAAATACGGGTGGAATAATCAGGAAATAGGAGTTTCATTTGATGAGTTAAGTTAATTTTAAATTAGATTATTTAAAATTAAATTAATTAAATTATGTTATTTTATTTTTGTTAATTGAATTGAATTTTTTTATTTTAAAAATTAATTGATCA